TAGCTGTCTTCCTAATCTCTTGGGCTAACCAAGTGAGTGCCTCCAGTGGGACATCTATTTGTTGAAACATCTCAGTGGGTATTCTGTCAATTCCCAGAGCCTTGTTCTTCACCAATTCCTTCAGTGCAGCTTCGACGTCTTCCTTCAGTACCGTTGGTTCTTGATCATATGCCACCTCCTGAAATGGATGAAGATCAACCATTTCTCTTTGGTACAGTGATTCCATGTATTCCTTCCATCTTCTTTTGATGTTTCCTGCATCATTCAATATTTTGCCCATAGAATCTTTCAGTATTGCAACTCGAGACTTAATTTTTTTCCTTAGTTCTTCCAGCTTGAGAAATGCTGAGTGTGTTCTTCTGTTTTGGTTTTCTAACTCCAGGTCTTTGCACATTTCATTATAGAATTGGCTTTGTCTACTCGAGCTGCTCTTTGAACTCTTCTGTTCAGCTCTTTTATTTTGCCATTTCTTCCATTTGCTTTAGCTACTCTCTGCTCAAGGACAAGTTTCAGAATCTATTCTGACATCCATTTTGGTCTTTTTTTTTTTTTTTTTCCTTTCATTTTGGTCTTTTCTTCTTGTTTATATTGGTAAACATGCTTAATTTTAAGTAGAAGACTAAGATTTATGGTAAATTATTTTTCTTTATTTTTATGATACTGAGTATACACATGAGTTATTTTTAAGCAAAGAAGGGGAGAAATGCCTGTGGGGGTTTAATGACATTTTAGGATGTTTTAAGCCACTTTATGTTGTATTGGTCTAGGATTGGCTGGGAAATTGGAAATGAAATTCACTCACATGGATTCAAAATTGACTTGATGCCAGTAAGTTTGGTGTTTGGTTTACTGCATTTGATGGCAGGAGATGCTTGTTAGAGGACAGACATTGGTTTTACCTTCTAAGGGGCTGTGTATCTCCTTATACAGAAATTATGAAGCTTGAATTTTAGTCCCCCTTCATCAGTGATTGTGGAGAAGTCAGAAATCTTTTGTAAAGCAATAACCCTTTCCATGAATGGTAATAGCTATCTGCTTGCTTTCTCATAATCTTGATGTTGGTACGTAGTTTAGACTGAATTGCTCATCTCAACCTTACACATCCGTGTGAAGTGGGTGGATTTCTCATTGTCATGAAGAAACAGGCTCATTGTCATGAAGAAACATCACACTCCTTAGAAGTGTTAGAGCTAGGACTACTCTTTTAGATCCTTGACTTTTCCACTATACTGGGCTGTGTTTTTATGAGTCTCCACCCAGATAGCGCCTCGAGGTGGTGGAAATGATGAATGCACTCAGCTGCTGACTGAAAGGTTGGAGGTTCAAGTCCACTCAGAGGCACCTTAGAAGAAAGGCCTGGTGATCTGCTTCTGAAAAATAAATCAAAACTTTGGGGGCACAGTTCTACTTTTGATGAATCACAGTTGACTCCACAGCACCTTTTTTTTTTTTTTAAACACTTCAATAGTTGCTGTCCTGTTTCGATATCATGAGCTGAATTTTCGGGTTGAATTTGGTGAAACTTTGGTTGTATGTGTGTGTTGTCAGCATATTAAGGTAAGTGAACTTTGTTTTTTACAGCTAAACATTGCAAGCAGATTACACTATTTTTGGTTTTAAATTCTAGTCAGAAGCGCTCTTGATTTCTAGAAATGCTGCCTTGTAACTGTGTTGTTTCCTTTTTCATAGCATATGAATTATTTGCATTCATCAGTCACATGGGAACATCAACAATGAGTGGCCATTATGTTTGCCATATCAAAAAGGAAGGAAGGTGAGTTTTTTAAGGAGGTAAATGATATCAGTACTTTATTGAGCACCCATATGTGCCGCACACTTCTACTAGGTGCTTCACATGTTATCTCATTTGACTCTCACAGTGGTCTTGTAGGGCGTTCTCTTAACAGTTTTAAACATAGCCAGATACCCCAAGGGAGTGGGTCACTGGGCTCATGGGCTTGGGATCATGGTCATGGGAAACATCAAATTCAATTGGCTTAACATACTACACAAAAACATTGTTCTACATCCTATTTTGGTGAGTAACAACTGGGGTCTTAAAAGTTTACAAAGGGCTATCTAAGATGTTACAAGTGGTCTCTCCTCATCTGGAGTAAAGAAGAGTGAAGAAAACCAAAGACATGTGGAAACAATTAGTTCAAGGGACTAGTGGACCATGCGAACCTCAGCCAACATGCATGACCCTGAGACCAGTACAACTAGATGGTGCCTAGCTACCACTGTCAGCCACTCAGAAAGCAGTCAAAAATAGGAGATCCTGGATAGAATGGAGGAAAAATGTGGAAAAACTCAAAATCATAAAAAAAAAGACCAGGTTTACTGTTTTGATAGAGATTAGTGAAACCCCCGAGACTATGGTCCCTAATCACCCTTTGAACCTGGAATTGAACTCACTCCAAAGGCTTCCTGCCAAACAATAGACAGGCATATAAGGTAAACATTTACACGAGGTAGGTACATGCCCTAGAACAGTCACCCATGGGAGATCAGAAGGGCAGTATTTACAACAGGAGAAAGCTAAGAAGGCAGAAATGCATAGGAAAGAAGGACACAAGGAAAACCACAGGGAGAAAATGGGAAGAGAGATGTTACATTATGGGGATTGTAATCAATGTCATGAAACAAAATGTGTATGAACTGCTGTGTGGAAAATGAATTTGCTTTGTAAACTTTCACCCAAATCACAGTTAAAAACAAAACAAAAAAATGTTTTACACATCAGGACACTGAGGATCAGAGAGGCTGAATAACTTGACCTTAGTTAGGAAGTAGTTGTGTCAGAACTGATATTCAAAGCCATCCTTACCACACCAAGGTGACATCCCAGAGTAAACATGCAGCCTGCAACAGTATGTCATATATGGAACTTCTATATAATTGCCAGACTTAACTAAAAGAAAGCAAAGCAAAATAAAACAAAAATAGGATGTCCAAGTTAAATTTAGGTTCAGATGAACAATGAATAATTTTTTTAGTATAACTGTGTCTCAAATATTGTGTATTCTAAATTTCATGGGTCATAAAAATAACCAATGTCTATATTTTAATATGGAGCTCTGGTGGTATGGTGCCTAAGGCACTTGACTGCTAACCAGTAGGCTGGTGGTTCAAGCCCACCAGCTACTCCTCAGAAGGAAGGTTGGGCAATCTACTTCTGTAGTGATAACTGCCTCAGAAACCCAAGGAGGGGTCTCTGTCAGGTCTGACTTGATGGCACATAACAACAACATATTTTAATATATTTCTCTTTGTTTTATTGTTTTCATTAGGGGAGGGTATGTATAAGCGTCTTAGGCTGGGTTCTGTAGAGGAGCAAAACCAAAATCTGTATATAACCCAATCCACTGCCTTTGAGTTGGACCCGATTCATAGCAACCCCTCCTTGGGTTTCTGAGGCGGTATCACTATGGAAGTAGATTGCCCAACCTTCCTCTCTCTCTCTATCTATACATGTGTGTGTGTATATGTATATATATATGTGTATGCATATGTATATACACATATATGTATGTGTATGTATGTATATGCATGTGTGTGTGTGTGTGTGTATGTATGTATGTGTGAAAAAACCAAATTCACTGCCGTTGAATCAAATCCAACTCATAGCAACCCTTTCTTGGGAGTCCGAGGCAGTATCTCTACGGAAGTAGATTGCTCAGTCTTCCTTCTGAGGAGTAGCTGGTGGATTTGAACCACCAGCCTTCCACTTACCAGTCACATGCCTTGGGCACAACACCACCAGAGCTCCCATGTATGTGTATATATATATAGAGAGAGGGAGGCAGACAGACAGAGAGAGATGCGGGGAGATGTATTTCAAGGAAATGGTTCATGCAGTTGTTGTTTAGTGCCATTGAGTCATTTCCGACTCATAGCAACCCCATGCACAGCAGAATGAACACCACATGCAGTTGTGGAGGCTGGCAAATCCCAAATTCATGGGTCAGGCATTGGGCTGGAAGCTTCTCCTGACTCATGTGGTTGCAGGGGTTAATGAACCCAAAACATGCAGATCAAATGGCAGGCTGTTAGGTCACTGGGCTGTAGGACCTGGGGAATCCCCAAATTTATAGGTCAGGTGACATGCTTCTGGCTCACATCCCAAAAACCAGAGGTCAGATGATGATGAGTTGGATGTAGGAGTGACAGAGATTTGCCAGAACATCCATATCTATTGAATGAATGCTACACCTCCAAGAAAATTCCCCTTGTATCAGATTACAAACTGGAGGATAATTATATAATACTGAGAATCATGGCCTAGCCATTATGACACATAACATTAACCATCACAGTTCATCCCTTGTCAGCATGACAACTGTGCCCATCTCCTTAAATTACACATAATCTCTAAATAAAGACAAGTATACAGTCATACTTGCGCCTAACATTATACAAATAACGTGTACAGCTGAAAATGCACTAGCCCCACTTATATCTTATATTTCATAAGTAATGGGATAAGGGAGGGAAGAAAACAAATGTTCATCTCTCTCCCTCTCTCTCTTTCAGACAAACACAGACACAATAAAACAAAAAATAACAATTTACAGTACTTGTTTCTGCATCTGGTCATGTGGTTGTAACTGGTATTTAGAGCTACCTTCTTCTATCACTCATTCGGTATTCCCTTTAGTCTCAGCAAGCACCTCAGCTGGTTGTGGTTCTTTGCCTAGTGAGATGACCTCAGCTTTCATTCCTGATGGGTCTGGGCCATTAATAGTCATGTCAGGATTGGGTTGCTGTAGTTGCCCATTGTCTTTAATCACAGGCATGATAGTATCAAAAGATATCCTAAGGGATCTCTTGTATTTCAGACAAACTCTCCTTTACCTTCATTATGTTATATCAATACAATTTCCCCTTGGTAATTAGGATCAGTCATACCAGCCAGTATGGTAATTCCCTTCTTTGCCTGTTGATGAGAAGTCCAAAGTGGCTGCGTATCACTCTTAACTTTTAGTTCAATGGAATCAGTGTTGTGTCTCCAGATGGGAGCATTCCTTCCTTTGGAACAAAGACCCCTAGATCCACAGAGCATAGGGTTACAGGGACAGGAAGCAAAAATTTTATGAGTGCATCACTGAGGGGAGTAGTGAGTGGTGTCAATCCCATTTCATCTCTTGATTCTTGGACCTGTGAATCCTGGCTAGGGGAGAAACAACACCATGTATTTGATGCTGGTTTAGAGCATATACAACCTGTTGGAGAACATTGCCCCAACCCTGGAAAAGATTTCTACCTAGCTAGTGCCATAATTCTGTTTTTACAAGGCTTTTCCATCATTCTGTGAAGCCAGCTCCTTTAGTATGATGGGAAACATGATAAGACCAGGAATGCCATGAGTATGGGCCCATTGCCACACTTCATTTGCTATGAAATGAGTCCTTGATCTGAGGTAATGTTGTGTGGGATACCATGATGGTAGATGAGGCATTCTGTAAGTCCACAGATGGTAGTTTTGGCAGAAGCTTTGAGTACATGGAAGGCAAGTCTGTATCCAGGGTATCTTTCTCAGTAAGAACAAAACGATGGCCTTTACGTGGTGGAAGCAGTCCAGTGTAATTAACCTACTACATCATTGCTGGTTGATTGCCCCAAGGAATGGTGCCATATCAGGGACTCACTGGTGTTCTCTGCTGCTGGCAGATAGGGCACTCAGCAGTGGCTGTAGCCTGGTCAGCTTTGGTGAGTAGAAGTCCACATTGCTCAGCCCATCATAACCTCTATCATTACATAGCCATTTTGTTCATGAGCCTATTGGGCAATGGTGGGTGTGCCCAGGGAAAGAATATGACTGGTTTCCATAGAACACATCATCCTGTCCACTTGATTGTTAAAATCCTCCTCTCCTGAGGTTACTCTTTGGTGAGCATTCACATGAGACACAAGTATCTTCACTTCTTTGGCCCCTTCAGAGAGATCTGTTCACATACTTGTTTCCCATAACTCCTTGTCAGAAATTTTCCTGTCATGTTCCTTCCAGGTCCCTGACCATCCAGCCAAACCATCGGCCACAGCTTATGAATCAGTATACAAATGCACATCTGTCCCATATCTCCTTCCAAGCAAAGCAAACAGCCATGTGCACTGCTTGAAGCTCTGCCCATTGGGAAGATTTCCTTTACCACCGTTCTTCAGAGAGGTCCCAGGCTGCAGTGTTGTTGCTGTCTACTTTTGAGTGGTAGCTGTGTATCACACAGAACCATCTGTAAAGCAAGCAGGCACAAGTTTTCTCATCCTCAGTCAACTGATCTTAAGGGACTCCCTCCCCATGAGGCTATAGGTACCAGCTGGAAGAGGGAGATAATGTGATAGGATTGGAGACCATGGACATTTGGGCCACTTCCTCATGCAACTTACTTGTGCCTTCAGGTCCTGGTTGAGCCTGATCTCTTATATACCATTTTCATTTGATGATAGAGTGCTGTTGTGTATGTCTGACTTAATGACTCTGTGGGTCAGATAGTACTCAGTTCATGATGGACAGCTTAGGATACATGGTGACTTTGTGGCTCATGGTGAAGGCCTAGTTAGAACATAACAAAAACAATACATGTATGTATGTATGTATATGCATACACCCACTCCTCACTTACTGACATGGTTAGGTTCCAAAGACCAAGTTGTTGTGTGAAAATCAGCATTATATGAAAATGGAGAATGACCACGTTGGTCACACAATAGAGGATGACTACATTCCCACATAACTGTCAAATTACATCCTTACATAACTGCCAAAAAACTCAGACTCCAGGCCTGGCCAAGTTGACACATAACCTTAACTATCACAGCCAGCATGACTCTTGCTTCACACATCAGTGTTTGTTAATGCCAGATGTATGTTGTTAATACACAAAGTAGTTGGATAGTAGATCTTTTACTCTCATCAAAAATGAGAAATGTTGGGTAACGATGAGATAGTTGGTAAGTGAGGAGTAGGTGTATAAATAAACATAAATGTTCAAGGTTTTTTAAACTACCAAGTATGCAGAGTACATATAATTTTGTAACTTGATTTTTCCTACTTAATATTATAATTATTTTCTCATTTCACCAAATTACTTTTGAAAACATTTCAATACCTTTGCAGTAGTTCACTATATGGATATTATATCTGTTTATTAGCTAATCTTATAGCTAAGACTAAAATAAACATTGTTGTACATAATTCTTTGACTTAATTTCTAGGGCTGTCTGTGGATTTCTACAAAGAAAATTTGGGATCAAAGGGTTTAAAGGTGTTTGGAGGCTTCTTATACATTTTAGCAACTTTTTTTTTTTTTTTTTTTTTTTGAGATTTTTATTGTGATTTGTGTGAAAGTTTACAGAGCAAGTTCATTTTCCGTACAGAAGTTCATACACATTTCATTTCATGACATTGACTGAAATTCCCCACAATGTAGCAGCTGTCTTTCCACTTCCTCTGTAGTTACCTCTTCCCTGTGTCCTTCTCTCCCATGGACTCCCACTCCCCCCAGCTATCTCCTGGTGCAAACAGTGCCCTTCTGTTCTCCCATGATGGATTTCTCCAAGTAGTGTATCTAGCTGTTGTAAATGTTCATCCTTTATGCCTATCTATTGTTTGGCTGCAAGCCACAGGAGCGTGTTCAATTCCAGACCTGAAGGGTAACTAGGGGCCATAGTCTTGGGGGTAACTATTTATTGATTGAGTTTTAGAATCAAAAAACAGTTGTGATTTTTCCACCATCATACTGTTCCTTTTTATACAACAAATGTGAGTTTGCTCATCTTAAAGTATCTTGATTGTTATAACAACTGTGCTCATATTATACAGTAACTTTCTTCTGCAAAATTTCTTGGAACTGACTTAAATCCATCACATTTCTGTGTTTTGTTTTCAGATGGGTGATCTACAACGACCACAAAGTTTGTGCCTCAGAAAGACCCCCAAAAGACCTGGGCTACATGTACTTTTACCGCAGGATACCAAGCTAAACCTCACATACACAAGTCGGCGAGAGAAGCCATACGCCTTTTTAATTTGCCAAAAAAGGGGGGGAAAAAAAAGAAGTTGGGACAGCCAGATATGAAGGAATACATGGGGTATTTATAGTTTATGTAAAGAGCACGATCATTTGACAACTTCTGAAATAGAACTGGGAAGAAATTTCTATTAGTGATGAGACACTACTGTAGATAGTTTCTCTTTTTATAAATATTCAAGGAGAGGAGGATTTAAAAAAAAAAAAAAAGAAAAGAATCCATATTGCTGGTGGGGGTCTGCCTCCAGCATATCACAAATGGAAATGTGCCACCAGTCCTCTCTGTCGCTTTGTGGGCCATTGGTAGTGGCCTCCAGAGAAACCAGTTAATGTGGCCGGTGGTGTGGCCTCACTTACAGTCAACAAAAAGCCTACTTGTGTTTCAGATAAAAAAAAGTCAGTCACTGGGCTAGGCTTTCTTTGGGACATAATTTTTTTTTTTCATTACACACAATAATTTCTGACCTGTCCATGTATAGTAAAAGCATCAGCAGTGAAAGATATTTTTAATTTAAATCATATTAAAATTCATAATACGATTGTGTGAATGTGTGTACGAATGAAAAAGAGAGTGTGGGACCTTTATAGTCAACTAGAAAATCTGTGATGGGTTGGTTTGTAAAGGCTAAAACAGTTGGTATTAAGTGTATCTGGGAAAAGCAAGAAAATATTTTAAAGTTTAACTCAGGAATAGTTTTAAAAAATTAGTTTCCCACTTAGATTTAAGGAGTTTTAAAAAAAGGGCTGAGTTACCCCTGTAAGTGGTGTGAAGAAGTCACTTAGTTTGTGACACGTGGTTGTGTAACACCAGATGCTCACAGCAGCACAGTGTCGTACTTTGCCAAAGGTAGCTAAATTCTCTGTTTCTTAGCAACCCTGTTCGCAAAAGGTAGAATGTTCGCTTTTGGTTATAAAACAGCTGATTTCTTCTTACCATCACACATGACACCTTTCTGGAATCATGTTAGGTGCCCCAAATTTGTCAATCATTTTCCTGTCCCTGACCTCTTTGCTGCCTCCATTTCTGTGTTTTGTGGGGCCAGAGTCTTATCTGTGCCCTTCCCTGTTGTATCATCTGACTTGCCTTCATTGTTGATCTGCTGTGATCCCCAGTGGGATCTTGGGCACTTTAAGATGCAAAGAGACTTTATATGGCATTATGGAAGACCATTCTTTTTCATTTTGATGTTTCAATATGTTAGTTGTAACCTGAGATTAGATCAGATTTCAAATGTGATTTTTTTAAAAAAAGTGGAACTATAGCATCCTCTGATTTTCCTATTGCTCTGTTCCAAATTCCAGAGTCTCTTGAGTTTCTATTTCAGATTATTCAGTCAAATGAGAAAAGGACTGCTTAACATGTATTTGGTTGAAAGACTCTTTCTAGAAGACTGTAGGAAAATAAAGTAGAACTAGTTGTGTGAAATAAAGCACAGTGGATCATGAGTTGTGCACAATCAGGATTCTTGTTTTGATTGGGGCCTTTGTCTCACAGGCGACCAGTTAGGCCATGTGAGTGAGGGATGTGGAACCCTGGCCTGTGGCCTGGAGAGCTGGGTGCTGCCCTGACTGGCTATGGACCTTGGGCAAGTCTCTTGAGTTCTCTGTGCCTCACTTTCCTCATCAGTAAAACGGTGTGTTGACACCTTCCCTCTCTCTGTGACCGGGCTGTGAGGATACAGCGAGCAATTTGATATGATGGAACTTTAAAGAGCAGAAGGTGGTGTGCCGTGGTGGGTCCTAGTAGAGTCTACTCCCTCCCTTCTCTCATCTGATGTTTTCTTTACTTTGGGAACAAATGAGAGTTGGCAGAAGGAGGGAGCTCATGGTGCAGTAATCCTCTACTAAATTATGCCCCCTGGTGTCACGTCACCTTCTAGCACTGACTGAGATATCCTAGAGTAGCCCCACTTTGTTGACCCGAGCCCTTGATTCCTGTAAACCAAGCCCCCACACTAAACAGCCTTATAAAAAAACCAGGGCCCTTAGGGCTGAGTATCATAGAATAATGGCTCCAAGCATGCATCAAAAATGACTTGTTTTCAATGGTGTTACAAAGTGAAGCCCTTTTGTTTGGGGAAATGAGGGGTTTGGGAATTGGGAATGAAATATGGATAAAAGATAGCATGTGTATTTTGAGCAAAATAAAAAATTTATAATGAAACTTCACAAAATGAATGATGTAAAATCAGCCTTTAAAATTATATGCTATAAATTCTTTAATGTCCTGAAGTAGAAAAAAAAAGAAATTTGCCCTTTTGACATCTAACCTACTGTAAAGTGCAATGCAGCTGCCTTTTTTTTTCTGCCTCACAAAACCAAGGGCTATTTCTACAAGGCAAAGTTTTGTATATGTGCTATTCTTTCTTTCAGATTGAGAGTTGAGAAAAACTGGAGCAAATAATGTTTTTTTTTTTTTTTTTTTTTGCTTAAAAATGTATTTATACATATATCTTAATATATATGACAGGTTTCCTGGGAATAAAAGTCTGGAATATACTGCTTAATTTTACACATGTATGTAGACAAAATTATTTGTGGCTATAAATGGGAATAATGTGGATTGTATCAACTGACTATCAGCCTGTGGGGAGTCCTCTGCTTGAGGTGTGGGGATCTGACTATAAAGTCCTCACTGTGTGTGGGTGTATGTGTGACAGAGAGTGCTCTCCTCCTGTAAATATTTTTTGATACCCATTTGTGTAGAACTCCAATGAATGTGTCTTTGAAGAATGTAATGTATCAAAGATGTATTTTGTCAATTGATCTAAATGCCCATGTAACTATCATCATCTGAGGTTCAGTTTGGTTCAGATTGGAATTTTCCTTTAAAGGAAAAAAAAAAAAAAGTATGCAGAAAGGACTATGGGAAGAAGCATGTTTCCATGTCGTTTTGGGGACATCACGATTGCCTCAGAATTTTGAAATCAACTAGGCTGTCTTCTCCCACTACAAGAGAACGTGCCTGCCGTCCCCCACTGCTCACTCTGGGCTGTAGAAGTCCAGGGCGAGGAGCTCGGGCCTGTCACTCCCAGCATCGTTTGTTCCCTTTACCTGACCTGGAGCCTTACCTGCAGCTCAGGATGAGAGCACCTGGCTTTGTATCCCAACTCTGCCTCTAAGTATAGGGGGGCCGAGTCTTTTACTTTAGCACAAGGGGGCTGGACCAGATGAGCTCTGAAGTCCCTTCCTGCCCTAATATTCTAGGCTATTTTCATTTTTGTGTGGTTGCAACTAAGAAGTTCTGGTGGCGTAGTGCCTAAGGCATTTCACTGCTAATGAGAAGGTTGGTGGTTCAAACTTGCCAGTCACTCCGTGGAAGAAAGATTGGGAAATATAGTTCTGTAAAGATTTACTGCCTCGGATACCCAAAGGGGGTCGCTATGAGTTGGAATTGATTAGATGGCCATGAGTTTTTTTTTTTAATAGTTGCAACTGGGGTCAGGCATATGCAATGTGAAGGAATCAGAGGTTTAGATAGTATCTTTTTGGTTTATTATAGCCTGTGTACCCCAACTGAGGGCCTTGTCATTTTTAGTGTCCCCACTCACGTTTCTGTTTCTGCTCCACTTATTTCTACTTTGGTAATGATCCCATTATTTTTATACTCTTGAAACTCAGTTTTCCAGTCTGTGAGGTACTTTTCTACCATCCCCCTTGAGATTAAAAAAAAAAAAAATTCAAAATAACACCCTCTCCCCAGAAAAACATCAGAAGTACTGTCAGCTAAATCTGTAACATATCAAAAATATTTTGTATTATAATTCAGTTATAGCTATGCGCCCCAAATAAATGCTGACAAAGTTGTCAGTGAACAGAAAGGAGGTCTCTTCCATCTTGTAGGCATCACTTGCTATGTCATATCATCAGCACAGACCATCTGTGGGGAGATGACAGGTGTCAGGGGACAGAACCTGGGTGATAAAATGGATCCAACTCTTTATCCTTAGATCAAAAATCCTAGGTGACAGAGCAAAGTCCTGTACTCTTAAGTTGGTGTCCAAGATACCCTGCATGGTGTCATGGAGGTTCACCGCTCAGTAAATCATCCTGAAAGGGTATTAACATTCTTTGCATCTGTGCTGTCCACTACATTAGTCATTAGGCACATGTGGATAGTGAGCACTTGAAATGTGTCTTGTCTAAATTGAGATGTGCTGAATGTGTAAAATACATGTAAAAATTTGATACACATAGAAAAGAATGTAAGGTATGTCATCAGTCTTTTCTATTAATTCCATGCTGAAATGATAATATTTTGGATATATTGGATAAAAAAGATAAAGTTAATTTCAACTATTCTTTTTTACCTCTTTGTGGCTACTAAAAAATTGACAATTAGAATGTGGCTCACATTATACTTCTGTTGGACAGCACTGCCCTAAACTCTAGATGGTCTAGGGATAAGCAGCAGATACAGGAAGTAAGAAAGGTAATTGTACGAAGTATCCACATAGAGCAATGCAGTTATTTTTGCTGGGGTCAAGAGAATTATGAGGCACAGAACCCCTTTCAGAAAGCAGATCATTCTGCCTAAAACCAATACATATAAGACCCTCAATTAAAAAAAAAAAAAAAAAAGCCAGGTGAGTCCCAAACCCACTTGACTTGTTTTCGCTTTGCCTAGAAGCTGCTCCCTTTTCACTTATTTTTCAGACATCTTCCAGATGGCAAGGACATTAGCTACATGAGGATGTTGGACGTGTTAGTTTCACTTTTAGGCAACATTCTCTTGTGGTTTCCCCTCCCTAGGTATTGTTGGTGTTTAAAGCTGGGGGTGTGGGAGAACCATGCGAACCTTGCTGTTCTAGACAGGCCTCTTCTCTCAGCCTTGGTGAAGGCAGAGCCTGTACTCCTCACCCTGCCCAGCAGGTTTTGATGTTGGCTCATGAAAGAGTTTGTATTTATTTTACCTCGCACTAGTCACAGTTGTTTAAAATACCGCAAATGTTTTGGGAGAGTATTTGCTTGTGATGGAAAGAGAGATGGATGATTTATTGCTTCAATTGT